CGCAGGATGAACTGAATGGAGGAATGCGTCTTGTGTGTTGTATGATAGATGCATATTCCTCAAGCCAAAAGAAAAATTCAATAGAACAGCTATGCGACCCGCTATGCTTAAAAAGACTGAATGTTGAGTAACTAAGAAACATGTTCAAAAATTGAGTGTGGCCAAAATGAGAGTGGTAAAACTAGGAAGGATAGAATTATGAACGATTATATCCGTCAAAAAGTAGAGGCAGCATAAGAAACAAATTAAGGGAGAGACAACTTACGTGATTTGGACATATTTATAAACTACCAACTATTGCACCGGTGAGAAATGATAGCTATTAACAGTAAGCATAGGGGTACACAANGAACGATTATATCCGTCAAAAAGTAGAGGCAGCATAAGAAACAAATTAAGGGAGAGTCGACTTACGTGATTTGGACATATTTATAAACTACCAACTATTGCACCGATGAGAAATGATAGCTATTAACAGTAAGCATAGGGGTACACAAAGTCAAAAATAACTTTAAATGAAATAGTGAAAAAAAGATATGATAACTTATGGTTTCACAGAAAATATAATCCTTCATAGAGCACAATGACGAAAGAAGATTCAAGTAGCCAACTCCAAAAAAGTTGGGGCAAGGCTTTGTTAAGTTAAGAAGAATATTCACCAGAATTTTCAGCAATTATATGCTTTGAGAATTGTGCGACGCAATTCAAACCCTAGGTGTGATGCCTAAAGAATCCTAAGAGTGATTTCTAGTCAAGATTATCGTTCATGGGACTGTTACTAGCCAAATTATTGTCCATAGGGTAGTGTTCACAGCCTAGAACATTGCTGGTTTTTTTCTTTTTTTTGCTTCTATCCTACCGCAATTGTGGTATCAAAGTGAAAATATCCTATATTTTGCGTGATGAATATTGGCATATGATGATGGAAATCCCAGATTTTAAAGGAAGGGATGATCCTTCAATATTTTGCAATTGACTTGCTTCTATTAAGGAGTATTTCGTTAGGTATAATATGTCAAGTTATTGAAGAGTGAGGTTTACCAAGATGAAACGTACAGGCTTGGCAAAATTTGGTAGTTTGAAGTTGAAGGAGATTTAAGAAAATCGAGATTGTTGTCAATCAACACATGACAAGAGATGAGAGCTAAACTTCAAGAGAAATATATACGTTCAAATTCTTGTAGCAAGTTGTGCAACCAAGTTACTAATCTACAACAAGGAAGCGTATCTATAGTTGAATATATTCAAAGATTTGAAGAACTAATATTGCAAAGTTAAATCGTAGAAGAGCTTCTCCAAACAATTGCTCGATTTAAGGTTGATTTAAGAGTTGATATAACGTTAAAATTACTTCGGCAGTCACTATATAACGTGGNGAGTAACTAAGAAACATGTTCAAAAATTGAGTGTGGCCAAAATGAGAGTGGTAAAACTAGGAAGGATAGAATTATGAACGATTATATCCGTCAAAAAGTAGAGGCAGCATAAGAAACAAATTAAGGGAGAGTCGACTTACGTGATTTGGACATATTTATAAACTACCAACTATTGCACCGATGAGAAATGATAGCTATTAACAGTAAGCATAGGGGTACACAAAGTCAAAAATAACTTTAAATGAAATAGTGAAAAAAAGATATGATAACTTATGGTTTCACAGAAAATATAATCCTTCATAGAGCACAATGACGAAAGAAGATTCAAGTAGCCAACTCCAAAAAAGTTGGGGCAAGGCTTTGTTAAGTTAAGAAGAATATTCACCAGAATTTTCAGCAATTATATGCTTTGAGAATTGTGCGACGCAATTCAAACCCTAGGTGTGATGCCTAAAGAATCCTAAGAGTGATTTCTAGTCAAGATTATCGTTCATGGGACTGTTACTAGCCAAATTATTGTCCATAGGGTAGTGTTCACAGCCTAGAACATTGCTGGTTTTTTTCTTTTTTTTGCTTCTATCCTACCGCAATTGTGGTATCAAAGTGAAAATATCCTATATTTTGCGTGATGAATATTGGCATATGATGATGGAAATCCCAGATTTTAAAGGAAGGGATGATCCTTCAATATTTTGCAATTGACTTGCTTCTATTAAGGAGTATTTCGTTAGGTATAATATGTCAAGTTATTGAAGAGTGAGGTTTACCAAGATGAAACGTACAGGCTTGGCAAAATTTGGTAGTTTGAAGTTGAAGGAGATTTAAGAAAATCGAGATTGTTGTCAATCAACACATGACAAGAGATGAGAGCTAAACTTCAAGAGAAATATATACATTCAAATTCTTGTAGCAAGTTGTGCAACCAAGTTACTAATCTACAACAAGGAAGCGTATCTATAGTTGAATATATTCAAAGATTTGAAGAACTAATATTGCAAAGTTAAATCGTAGAAGAGCTTCTCCAAACAATTGCTCGATTTAAGGTTGATTTAAGAGTTGATATAACGTTAAAATTACTTCGGCAGTCACTATATAACGTGGAGCACACATTCAAAGAGTCATTTGGTACATAAATGTATCTAAATTTTCTCAATCGAGTAAATATGTTACAATTTATTCTTCCCAAAGAACTAAAGCTCAAAAGAGTTTGAATTCTCATTAGGAGCCAGAGAAGGTTCATCAAAAGCAACTCAACGTAGCAACTGATAATTTAGGGTGACGAAGATCAAGTAGATGAACCTACACAATCTCAAGCCACTTTTCCAATTATTGTGCAGATGAATGTACACCAGTGTTGTGAAAAGCGAGCCTAGACGAGCGCCTAAACTAGAAGCAAAGCAAAGCGAGTCTTGGTTGCCTTGAACATCTCAAACAAAGCGAGGTTAAGTCAAGCGATGAAAAAGAGAATCTAGGCAATGAAGCGAGCCATACGAGAAAAGCGAACAATTTTTTTATTTTCTCCTCCTCCTCCTCCTCCTCTCCCCCCATCCTTCTTCTTCCTTGACATTAACCAAACCCTAATAGGGATGATGTTATATGTGTATATATATATAATAAATTAATTGATTGATTCATCTAACAGCATTATATAACAATTTGTATTATTATGATTAGATGATGTTGAATGCTCAATTTTGATGTGAATACTCTTATTAATCAATTTGCTATATGCTCTATTTGATTAATCAATTTGTGAGTGCCCTATTTAGTGGTAATATTAATCAATCACGGTGGAAGTCATACCCACATTTGCTAACTTTACATTTAAATGGTGTGATTATGTCAAGTGATTATTTTTAGAATACAATAATGTTCAATATTTAATATTTTGTCTATTTAAAATATGTTAATGTTTATTATTTTAGTTGCATTTAAATATTTTGTATTTGTAAAGTTAAAATTTGGGTATTTAGGAATAATCAAATTAAAATATTTGGTTATTTTTTATATTGTTTGTTTTGCTTCTATGATGTGCTCGCTTAGTTTCTCGCTTCTTGCCTAGGCTTTCAAGAGATCGGTTCGCTTTACGCCTTAAATAACACTAACGTACACAATTTTTATTACGTGGCGCTTAAGAAAATGGAAGGAACAACTAGTAATGGATCAAATTTGCTTTTATAAATGACTAAATNTTGTAGCAAGTTGTGCAACCAAGTTACTAATCTACAACAAGGAAGCGTATCTATAGTTGAATATATTCAAAGATTTGAAGAACTAATATTGCAAAGTTAAATCGTAGAAGAGCTTCTCCAAACAATTGCTCGATTTAAGGTTGATTTAAGAGTTGATATAACGTTAAAATTACTTCGGCAGTCACTATATAACGTGGAGCACACATTCAAAGAGTCATTTGGTACATAAATGTATCTAAATTTTCTCAATCGAGTAAATATGTTACAATTTATTCTTCCCAAAGAACTAAAGCTCAAAAGAGTTTGAATTCTCATTAGGAGCCAGAGAAGGTTCATCAAAAGCAACTCAACGTAGCAACTGATAATTTAGGGTGACGAAGATCAAGTAGATGAACCTACACAATCTCAAGCCACTTTTCCAATTATTGTGCAGATGAATGTACACCAGTGTTGTGAAAAGCGAGCCTAGACGAGCGTCTAAACTAGAAGCAAAGCAAAGCGAGTCTTGGTTGCCTTGAACATCTCAAACAAAGCGAGGTTAAGTCAAGCGATGAAAAAGAGAATCTAGGCAATGAAGCGAGCCATACGAGAAAAGCGAACAATTTTTTTATTTTCTCCTCCTCCTCCTCCTCCTCTCCCCCCATCCTTCTTCTTCCTTGACATTAACCAAACCCTAATAGGGATGATGTTATATGTGTATATATATATAATAAATTAATTGATTGATTCATCTAACAGCANTGAAAAGCGAGCCTAGACGAGCGTCTAAACTAGAAGCAAAGCAAAGCGAGTCTTGGTTGCCTTGAACATCTCAAACAAAGCGAGGTTAAGTCAAGCGATGAAAAAGAGAATCTAGGCAATGAAGCGAGCCATACGAGAAAAGTGAACAATTTTTTTATTTTCTCCTCCTCCTCCTCCTCCTCTCCCCCCATCCTTCTTCTTCCTTGACATTAACCAAACTCTAATAGGGATGATGTTATATGTGTATATATATATAATAAATTAATTGATTGATTCATCTAACAGTATTATATAACAATTTGTATTATTATGATTAGATGATGTTGAATGCTCAATTTTGATGTGAATACTCTTATTAATCAATTTNTTTTATAATTATTAAATTTGTAGAAACAAGTCATAGTACGACAAGTGGGTCGTCTTTTGGATCAAATATTTAGTATTATATGTTTGTAGATATGGAGTCTAGTTCTAGGCTATAAAAGTTTCCTAATCAGTAAATTACTTGGAGTACAAGTCCTTTTAGGATTAGCAAATAGTGAAATACTTGGAGGGTCTATATATAGCTATGTAATGTTTTTAATAAGTATAGAAAGCATATTTACCAGATTTTTCAGCAATTATATGCTTGAGAATTGGTTGATGTAATTCAAACCCCAAGTGTGAAGCCTAAGGAACGTAGGAGTGATTCCTAGTCAAGATTATTTTTCACAGAAATGTTACTAGCCAGATTACTTTTCACGGGAGGACTGTTCACAGCCTTGAACAGTGCTTTTTTTTGCTCACTGCTGTCCTACATCTCAAGTAAAGACTCATCTTCTTCATATGATGCTATATCCATCCTACCAAGTAGCCAATCATTGCTTTCATTACTATCCTTCAAAGAGAAAGAGGATGAATTATGTCGCGCAAAGCACATTGAAATCCCAATGCTAGGATCAAATCATTCATACCTAGCCCTTAAAATGTACCAACACAGTAGGGGGGAAGTGAGCACCTTTGAACCTTGAGCTTGATCCCCAAGGCATGCGACGCACGCACTTCATCAATGTCCCCTCGCCTGAGACCAGTTGAGGTGCAAGGGGTGCACCTTGACTTTTGCACACTGCTAATACCAAGAGCCAATATGGCAGAAAAAATTTAGGCAAGGACACTAATAATCCAACTAGGTTAATGTCAGTCCCACACCATCAAGATCATAAAAAACCTTGTCCTACCTTATTAAGCAACCAAAACCAACCAAATTTATACGAATTCTGATCCTAGAAGACCTAATTTTGACATTGCAAGACTACTGAAAACTAAAAAATTTAAAAAAAAAAATGAAAAAAAAGGGTTGATTTCCAAGGATACTTAGATGTCCACCAGACTTAAGGTTGACTATCTATGAGGCTACTTTTTTTATTAAGCTTCAAAAACAAGGCTAGGGGTTCAACAACGGCAGTCTCTGCAAACCCATCACAGAATGAACTGTTGCAAGGCAGAATGGTAAAGGTTTTTTCATTCTAGCCGTAAAGTCGATATTTTCAACCAAAATGTCTTCCATCTGTACTTAAGATAGTATAATATGTATGATTTGAAAGTTCAAATAACTTTGAAAACAACAAATCAAGTGAGTGATAGTGAACTGAAGATTTAGATGAACCTTAAAATGCACTGTTTTTCATTATGGGAATTGAGAACCTGCGTCTAGCGGATAGTACATTGGTATCCGTCCATTCAAAGAACCTTCTTTACACGGACCAAATACTTCCATTTTCTTCATCAGTACATTCTTTTGGACAACCTGACGNTGAACAGTGCTTTTTTTTGCTCACTGCTGTCCTACATCTCAAGTAAAGACTCATCTTCTTCATATGATGCTATATCCATCCTACCAAGTAGCCAATCATTGCTTTCATTACTATCCTTCAAAGAGAAAGAGGATGAATTATGTCGCGCAAAGCACATTGAAATCCCAATGCTAGGATCAAATCATTCATACCTAGCCCTTAAAATGTACCAACACAGTAGGGGGGAAGTGAGCACCTTTGAACCTTGAGCTTGATCCCCAAGGCATGCGACGCACGCACTTCATCAATGTCCCCTCGCCTGAGACCAGTTGAGGTGCAAGGGGTGCACCTTGACTTTTGCACACTGCTAATACCAAGAGCCAATATGGCAAAAAAAATTTAGGCAAGGACACTAATAATCCAACTAGGTTAATGTCAGTCCCACACCATCAAGATCATAAAAAACCTTGTCCTACCTTATTAAGCAACCAAAACCAACCAAATTTATACGAATTCTGATCCTAGAAGACCTAATTTTGACATTGCAAGACTACTGAAAACTAAAAAATTTAAAAAAAAAATGAAAAAAATGGGTTGATTTCCAAGGATACTTAGATGTCCACCAGACTTAAGGTTGACTATCTATGAGGCTAGTTTTTTTTTTAAGCTTCAAAAACGAGGCTAGGGGTTCAACAATGGCAGTCTCTGCAAACCCATCACAGAATGAACTGTTGCAAGGCAGAATGGTANAGGCTAGGGGTTCAACAACGGCAGTCTCTGCAAACCCATCACAGAATGAACTGTTGCAAGGCAGAATGGTAAAGGTTTTTTCATTCTAGCCGTAAAGTCGATATTTTCAACCAAAATGTCTTCCATCTGTACTTAAGATAGTATAATATGTATGATTTGAAAGTTCAAATAACTTTGAAAACAACAAATCAAGTGAGTGATAGTGAACGGAAGATTTAGATGAACCTTAAAATGCACTGTTTTTCATTATGGGAATTGAGAACCTGCGTCTAGCGGATAGTACATTGGTCTCCGTCCATTCAAAGAAACTTCTTTACATGGACCAAATACTTCCATTTTCTTCATCAGTACATTCTTTTGGACAACCTGATGNCTATGTAATGTTTTTAATAAGTATAGAAAGCATATTTACCAGATTTTTCAGCAATTATATGCTTGAGAATTGGTTGATGTAATTCAAACCCCAAGTGTGAAGCCTAAGGAACGTAGGAGTGATTCCTAGTCAAGATTATTTTTCACAGAAATGTTACTAGCCAGATTACTTTTCACGGGAGGACTGTTCACAGCCTTGAACAGTGCTTTTTTTTGCTCACTGCTGTCCTACATCTCAAGTAAAGACTCATCTTCTTCATATGATGCTATATCCATCCTACCAAGTAGCCAATCATTGCTTTCATTACTATCCTTCAAAGAGAAAGAGGATGAATTATGTCGCGCAAAGCACATTGAAATCCCAATGCTAGGATCAAATCATTCATACCTAGCCCTTAAAATGTACCAACACAGTAGGGGGGAAGTGAGCACCTTTGAACCTTGAGCTTGATCCCCAAGGCATGCGACGCACGCACTTCATCAATGTCCCCTCGCCTGAGACCAGTTGAGGTGCAAGGGGTGCACCTTGACTTTTGCACACTGCTAATACCAAGAGCCAATATGGCAAAAAAAATTTAGGCAAGGACACTAATAATCCAACTAGGTTAATGTCAGTCCCACACCATCAAGATCATAAAAAACCTTGTCCTACCTTATTAAGCAACCAAAACCAACCAAATTTATACGAATTCTGATCCTAGAAGACCTAATTTTGACATTGCAAGACTACTGAAAACTAAAAAATTTAAAAAAAAAATGAAAAAAATGGGTTGATTTCCAAGGATACTTAGATGTCCACCAGACTTAAGGTTGACTATCTATGAGGCTAGTTTTTTTTTTAAGCTTCAAAAACGAGGCTAGGGGTTCAACAATGGCAGTCTCTGCAAACCCATCACAGAATGAACTGTTGCAAGGCAGAATGGTAAAGGTTTTTTCATTCTAGCCGTAAAGTCGATATTTTCAACCAAAATGTCTTCCATCTGTACTTAAGATAGTATAATATGTATGATTTGAAAGTTCAAATAACTTTGAAAACAACAAATCAAGTGAGTGATAGTGAACTGAAGATTTAGATGAACCTTAAAATGCACTGTTTTTCATTATGGGAATTGAGAACCTGCGTCTAGCGGATAGTACATTGGTATCCGTCCATTCAAAGAAACTTCTTTACATGGACCAAATACTTCCATTTTCTTCATCAGTACATTCTTTTGGACAACCTGATGCAGGTCGATGAACAATGACATAAAATGCAAAGGAAGCATTTCAATTTACTCCCAGATTCTAGACCAAGGATTCTTAAACTAATATGTGTGCACCTTAGACAAGTTCATAGTGAGTCTGTCAACATTTGAAAATCTCATACAAAAGTTTGTTGTCATTGGAGAGGAGCACAATTGGAAATTCAGCAAATTTACTGCAACTCTGGGAAAATAGTTGGAAGTATTTGTGCATAACAGTCTGTTAGTTAGTTAGTCCTAGCTGGCATTGTAACCAAGATTGTATATAAATACATGTACACTGGACTGAAAATAGTTGAATGGAAAATCTCTTCTTCCTCATGGTTTCTGTGTGTGTGAGTATCTGTCTTCTTGCTCAAGCATACTATGAAATCTAACAAGAACAACATAATTAACATGTATTCATATTTTTAAATTTTTGAGAGAGAGAGAGAGACCTTGACATCGTGAACAGCTCGCAATTGCAAACCAGGAGCGAAATCGAAGAAGCCTTCGACAAGGGCGTTATGTTCTTCGAATTCGTAGTTCAGCGAAAGGTACTTGGATTTGAAGACCAATTGGGGCTCGGAAATCTCACCTTTTTTGTCGTTCTGAAACGAGAGCTTCAACTTCGCCAGACTATCGAAGAACTTGCAAGAGATCTTGTGGAAGAAAATGGAGCTGTCACTGTCAAACTCTGACGTCACTCTTATCGGCGGTCGTTTAGGAAGAGCTAAGAATCCTCCTCCTCCACCACCACCACCACCACCAGCAGTAACGCCGGCGTAAGTTGGTGGTGGTGGAGGGTCGCCTGAAGTTGACTGTGGGACCAGGGAGTTAGGGTTTCGTGATATTGAAATTGAGTCTACCATTGCTGTTGGTGTCAAGTTTCTATTCTACTGATGAGGAGTGAGAAGAGAGAGACATTGTTAGTAGATAGTATTGCATGATTTTCGGCGGACACTTAGATGCAGATATTGATTTGGCCATAATTTCTGCAAATTTAAGGCTGTGTTTGCATTGTGTCTGAAAGACTTTTTTATTTTCCGATACAAAAATGCAAGTGANATTTGGCCATAATTTCTGCAAATTTAAGGCTGTGTTTGCATTGTGTCTGAAAGACTGTTTTTTATTTTCCGATACAAAAATGCAAGTAAAAATATGTTTGGCCAGAGTCCTTTTTAAAACAAATTTTTTTTAAGGCAAAAAAAGGAAAAACACAGAGAACAAAAGAAATAATTTACTTTTTCTTTTTTTCTCTCTCCGACCCTCTTCTAGGCAATACATCAAGGCAACTCCAGCTGTTGTTCAACCTCGACGACTGATCCATCTCTAGTGAAACATGCTCGACTAAGAAGGCGTAATCTCCAACTGTTGTTCTAGATCTAATCTTCATCGATTGATACTCTGGCGAAACATCTTCAAAAGATTTGATCTTCTACCTTCGAATTTGTTCCAGATCTAGTAAAATAATGTTANTCGACGACTGATCCATCTCTAGTGAAACATGCTCGACTAAGAAGGCGTAATCTCCAACTGTTGTTCTAGATCTAATCTTCATTGATTGATACTCTGGCGAAACATCTTCAAAAGATTTGATCTTCTACCTTCGAATTTGTTCCAGATCTAGTAAAATAATGTTAGATCTATAGTGTTTGAATTTTTTAGGATTTTTTATAGATCTATTTTGTCAAATTTTTGAAATATCTATTGTGTTATAATGTGGATTGTTGTGTGTGGAGTTTGATCTTATGATTATTTTTTTTTTAATCTTGGTTCAGATCTGTTGATTTTGTGTACTAGTGGTTGAAAAATGAGTCTGTGATTCAGAGTGTAGATCCCTCCGACGTTTACTATTGAGTTTTCAAGGGGTTCACATAAATTATAATAATAGTTAAATTATGGATATGCCAAAAGGACGTTTGTGTGTGGTGTTGGACTTTGGTAGATTAATTCCATCAAGTTTGATGTATTGAATCTATTTTTTATGAAACAATCAAATCCAAACAACATGTTTGTTCTCATTGTTTTTTAGGTTACTGTCCAAACAAGTTTTACTATTTTCTATTATATAGACTATTTTTCAAATCATATAACTAAACAAATTTTGTGATACAAAAATACCAAAACACAAACTCTTCTCAAAAATTATTTTCGTATACTATTTTTTAAGATGCAATTCNGTCCAAACAAGTTTTACTATTTTCTATTATATAGACTATTTTTCAAATCATATAACCAAACAAATTTTGTGATACAAAAACACCAAAACACAAACTCTTCTCAAAAATTATTTTCGTATACTATTTTTTAAGATGCAATTCAAACACGCCCTTATAGCTGGGTTAAATTTTAACTTTATAAACATAGAAAGAGGAAAAAACAATTATTATCGTACCTTTTGAATGGAGGGTGGTCGTGCTTCGTATCCACTTTAGGTTTGGCTTCCTTCTAGTTTTTCAAGAATGGAAGAATCATATGATTTTTTTAAATGGTCAAGATTGCTAAAAAATTAATTATAATTAATTAATTTTATAAAGTTTATAATAAAAATTNTATGATTTTTTTAAATGGTCAAGATTGCTAAAAAATTAATTATAATTAATTAATTTGATAAAGTTTTATAATAAAAAATNAAAAAATTAATTATAATTAATTAATTTTATAAAGTTTATAATAAAAATTTTTAATTTAAATTTATGGTCATCATGTTTCAAAGATCAAGTTTTGAAGATTTCAAGAAAATAGGAGTTCAAGTGTTAAAGTCAAATTAAAAGATATACATTGCACATCTTTGCCGATAATTCACATGACGAGGGTGTTTGGATTGTTGAAAAAGGGGGTTTACACACTTAATTTCACAATTAACTTAAGAATTTATAATTGTGGCAGATTAGGTTTAAAATTGGTAATTGTTCAAACAATGATTTCTTTTGATAAACCTATCCACCCACCCCTCCCTCTAAATTGCGTATAGCAATTCCATGCGTATAATCGTAATGAAAGGTCCACATCGAATCTATCCCTCGATTCATTTTCATAATTTCTAATTGGTATTAGAAGTTTGGTTTCCTTGAAGATTGCATTTAGACATTTGTAGGCATATTTTATGTTTGCTTGCTTAACCTAGTTTTTTTTTTTATTTGAGAATTATTGGGATTACCAATTAGACTCGAATGGATTCTTAAAGAGAAGGCGAATCAATCATGAAACCACCACTCTTCATCGTAAAAATTATGCATACTAGAAGGCATAAATGAGAGTTTTTCTAAAGTCGATCAATAAGCATGTGTAGTTGTCGGTATTGGAAGGTTGAACCCCTCCGAGGTTGACTGCTACTGAGGAGACCGACATGGTGACTAGACCAAAACCCCCGAGCACTTGGATCACCATCAAGTATGAAAGTGTAGGGTGGAACTCAAACTGCTTAAATGTGATGTCTAATGTTGTCTCTCCCAATGAGTTCCAGAGGATCTCCATTTGTGAGATTTCCAAATAAGCATGGGATCTCTTAAAAGTTTCCCATGAGGGGAAAACCTCAATGAAGATTTTTCATCTCCAAATGTAGACCTCTCAGTTCAAGACTTTGAGGACGCAAGAGGATAAAATATTTAGCGATTTTTATGTTAGGTTGAGTGATATTGTTAATTCATCCTTTGCATTAGGTCAATTTTGACTAGAGACACTTCCTACTAAGATCGCCGGCCTTAGAAACAATAGTTAGTCTAGAGAATGTGTCTATAGAAGACCTAATTAGGTCAATTTTGACTTCCGAGATGGATCTCCCATTGCCCAAAAAGTCGAAGGGCATGGCTTTGAGCTCTATTAGAGAAGAGTGAGATGAATTTGAGTCACTTTGTTTGGGAAAGAGGACCTAGCCTACTTTGTGAGAGAGTTTGGGAAGGATGTCAAGGCTAGAGGAGTCGAGTCCTCGCATGTCAAGTAGATCTAAAATTCAGCAAATGACTGATAAAGAGGGCTTCAATGCTACAAGATGGCTTGTGAATGTCCTAATCAGAAGAAGAAATATTTATCCAAAGGGAGGAGGAAAACAATCAAAGCTAAGTGGAGCGATAAAGATAGTGAGTCCACGTTAAGTGAGGACTCTTCTTCTCAAGATGATGAGCAAAATTTTACAACTTTCATTGGCTCACATTTCTCCCCTTCAAGATGTGAAGTTAAGAGAGATAGAGAGAGAAGAAGAAGAAGAATCAAGTCCTACCACGAGGGTAACTAACTTGGATGTTAAAGTCAACTCAAGTGAGGATGATACAAAGAGTATTGAGGATATTCATAATGCTTATGCTCAATTATGTGAGGAGTTCAACAAACAAAAGAAGAAAGAGTTAATATTGAGCCCGAGGCTCAATTCAAGAGAAGAATAGAAAAAATTACTCCAAGTGAACTTAAAGAAGCCCAAAGCTCATATTTGTGAGCTTGAAGAAGAAAATAAGTCCTTAAATTATAGTTGAGCTTTATATAGAGAGAGAGTGTCATGGTCTAATTAAATCTAAGAAGTGTATTGAGTCTAGATTGATAAAACTTGATAAAGAGCTTAATGAATCAAGTGAACTCTCCAAGAAACTTTCCCTAGGATTGAAAAAGCTTAATAAAATGTTTTCTATAGGAAAAAGTATTGGTGACAAAAAAGGATTATGATACATTCATGAACACATCACCACCACTTCTTCCAAGATTACATCTGTTAAGGCTAATGTATACTCATCACCCCCATGAGCGTACCATAAGTCCTCCAAATACTAGAATCGGTAAGAAGGGTAGGAATATAAAGAAGAAAGTTGTTAAAGAACCCTATGCCAAATAATTTGTATGTTTAACTTGTGAAGAGTACATACACTATAGTACACATTGCATTTATTCTAGGAAAGTCATGTATAAATAAAAAGCTCACTCACCCAGCTAACCAATCCAAGGTCTTAAATAACTAAGTCATACATCTTAAAAAGTTTATGGGTAGGTCTAGTCATCCTAAGCCAAGGAAAGCATCACCACCAAAAGGCTCACTAGCTAGGTTGAAAAAGACTATTTCTACTCCCAAGGTCAAAATTGATTAAGAAACTTTTGAAGAGAAGAGAGTAAGTCATCCACTCATTCCCTAAGCTAACTCGAGATATTTGAAGGGAAAACAAGTGTGGGTAAGGAGTGAGGACCTTGAGAGGCTCATTACCTCAACCAAATTGGAAGTCCTGATGGCTACGAAGGATGTTGAGTCACCTAAGAAGTAGGTGAGGTGAGAGTGTGGACTTAGGTACATAGTCATGCATTGTATCTTATATACTAGGTTCATGCATTATAAATATTTTTCTTTGATTATTTACTTTGCTTTTGTTACATGAAAAAAAAATAGAATTTAAAACCCAAAAACAGCTTGATGTTAGTTGGACATCCTTTTCGAATTTATGGGTAATTGCTTTATTTTTCCTTTGTTATTGCATGTTATGCATATTTTCTATTTTTAAGTATTTTTGAAAAATACTAAAGCATTAGTGAAGAAAAAATCAAAAAGATTTTCTTTTCTTGTTTTTCTATTGTTAATCATGGTAATCACACGTTGATTTGAATTGTGGTGTATTCATCTTTAAATCAAATTTAAGTGTATTAGGATCATGTTTGTAATTAGTTAGTTTCATGAAGTATTTTTGTAAATCTCAACCTATTTGTTAGATCATATTTGTAATTAGCTAATTTCTTAGACTCTATTGTAAAATCTCAACATATTTTATGGTCATGATTCTATCAAGTTTAAAATCCAAAAGCGTCATTGAAGGGAGGTGATCAAGCGTCAAAGTTACATCATTCAACTTATGTATGCACTTTTATGCTTAGGACAAATGTAATAACATAGAAACCT